GGGACTGGGTCTTAGACCAGGGGTGTTACGAGTAGATCTGGCTGCAGATAACCAAAAATTCTCAAATGGTATTTGCTTACAATGGAAGAATGTTTCTCCTGCATGATGTCCAGAGGTAGGCAGTTGTGATATTGTGATTTACAACAAGAAGTATATATTTGGTCTTATATATATGGTCTATGCTTCCTAGCACAGAGCTCCTAAAGGTGTCCTTTGTTATGTTAATGAGGTGACTTTTGGATCCCACCTAGGATGGGGGACTGGTTGCCTGGAGAACCAACAGAGCCATGGAAGGGTTGAAACTTTCAGTTCATGTAAGCGATGAATCACAGGAATCTACCCCCAAAACCAAGAGCACACTGTATACACTGTATGTTAGCCAATTTGACAATAAATTATATTAAAAAAAAAGAAGAAAGAAAGAAAGAAAGAAAGAAAGAAAGAAAGAAAGAAAGAAAGAAAGAACCTTTCAGTTCCACCCCTCTGACCTCTGGGGAGAAGAGAGGGGCTGGCGATTGAGATCAATCACCAATGGCTAATGGTTTAATCAATCGTACCAATGTAATGAAGCCTCCATAAAAAAACAAAAAGATGGGGTTCAGAGAGCTTCCGGGTTGCTGGCCACGTGGAGATTGCACACTCAGAGGGCGTGGAAGCCCCAAGCCCCCTTCCCGTACCTTGCCATATGCCTCTCTTCCCTCTGCTGCTGGTTCCTGAGTTGTATCCTTCTATAATAAAAACTGGTAATCTAGTGTTTCTCTGAGTTCTGCAGGCTGCTTTAGCAACTTCACAAAACCCGAGGAGGGGGTCATATGAACCTCTGATTCAATCGGTCAGGACAGGTGACAGCCTGGGCTTGCAACTGGCATCTGAAGTGGGTGGGGGCAGTCGTGTGGGACTAAGCCCTTAACCTGTGGGATCTGACACTATCTCCAGGTAGACAGTGTCACAACGGAGTTATGTAAGCCACCCAGCTGGTGTTGGAGAATTGCTTGGTGATGTGGGGAAACCGCACCCCCCATGTTGAAACTGGGTGCAGACAACCCCTTAGTAGTTGAGGCCAATGCGGCACTCTGGTATCTGGGGCCCAGACTCCAGGGATGCCCTTTTCACTGTATTCTGTGTTCTGTTTATCATAGAATACAGTGGAAAGTGTGCACCACGTAGGGTATGTCAGACTTTTTGCTCTGTTGTGGGTGCACCTTCTATTCCCAAGGTCACCCGACCTTGTGATCCAAGGTCACTGCTGGAGCTCCAGACATTACATCTGCATTCCAACTGTCAGGAAGAAGGAACGATGAAGGTCTCACCTCCTCCCTGGATAGACACTGCTTGGAAAGGACACTTTTACTTCTACCCCATTAGCCAGACTTACTCACGTGACCATATCCAACAGCAAGGAAGGTTCTCCTGGATGGGTACACGCCTAGCTCACTCAGGAGCTCATAGAGGCGAGTGGGTACTGGGGACATTAGCAGACTCTACGGTAAGGGGACCCGTTGCTTTCTGGGTGCAGGGATCACTTTGGCCCAGGTCCCAAGGTATGGAGAGGTCGTGGGTTAAGAGGCCTGCGGCCACGTGGAAGGAAGAAGAGGGCAAGGCCAGGAGTAATGCAGGGCGCTGGCCTCAGAAGAGACCCTTGGGTGTGGTCATGTGATAGTTAAATGTGGTCATGTGATAAGTGAAATTTACCATAGGACCCAGCAAATCCACTCCTAGGAATTTACCCTGGAGAAATGACAACATCCCCCCCATACCAAGACTTGCCGTGAAATTTTCAGAACAGCTTTGTTCCTAAAAGCCAAACGTCGGAAGCAACGTAGTGGCCCATCACCTGGTGGAGTTCTATTTGGCAATGAAAAGGCACGAACTACTGCTAAGCACGTGCCACAACACAGACCTTCAAGTCGTCTGCTTCGTTGAAAGAAGCCAGATGGGGGGCGCCTGGGTGGCGCAGTCGGTTAAGCGTCCGACTTCAGCCAGGTCACGATCTCACGGTCCGTGAGTTCGAGCCCCGCGTCAGGCTCTGGGCTGATGGCTCGGAGCCTGGAGCCCGTTTCCGATTCTGTGTCTCCCTCTCTCTCTGCCCCTCCCCCATTCATGCTCTGTCTCTCTCTGTCCCAAAAATAAAATAAAAAACGTTGAAAAAAAAAAAAAAAAAAGAAAGAAGCCAGATGGAAGAGGTCACATATCGTAGGATTCCATTCATGTGAAATTTCCATGAAAGGCAAACCTGATGGGAACAGGAAGTAGATTAGTGGTTGCCAGGAACAGAATTAACTGTACATGCATTTAAAGAATCTTCCTGGGGGGGTGCCTGGATGGCTCAGTCGGTTAAGCAACTGACATAAGCTCAGGTCGTGATCTCGCGGTTTGTGAGTTCGAGCCCCGCGTCGGGCTCTGTGCTGACAGCTCAGAGCCTGGAGCCTGCTTCACATTCTGTGTCTCCCTCTCTCTCTGCCCCTTCCCTACTTGCACTGTCTCTCTCCCTCTGTCAAAAATAAAGATTGAAAAAAAAATAAATAAATAAAAGAATCTTACTGGGTGATGAGAATGAGCTAAAGCTGGATTATAGTGATGGTTGCACAACCCAGTCCATTCACTAAATATTGACTTGTCCATTTGATGTGAGTGAATTTTAGGATATATATGACTCATTAAAGCTATAAAATAAAAGATATTTTATTTTTTTTAATTTTTAAATGTTTATTTTTGAGAGAGAGAGAGAGAGAGAGAGAGACAGTGTGAGCAGCAGAGGGGCAGAGAGAGGGGGGGACGCAGAATCTGAAACAGGCTCCAGGCTCTGAGCTGTCAGCACGGAGCCCGATGTGGGGCTCGAACTCACAAACCGCTAGATCATGACCTGAACCTACGTCAGATGCTTAACTGACTGAGCCACCCAGGCACCCCTAAAAAAGATATTTTAAGAAGTCACTTCCCCAGAGCGGGCTTCAGGGACACCTGTTCCCTGCTAAATGCAGCCCTCCTTGCCTTGCCTCATGGTCCTTGCTCCTCCAGCCTTGTGTCAGGTGGAAACTTTGTGAGGGATGGGTTTCATGTGGACGCTCCCCTCTAGAATGGAGCCTCTGTGGGAAAGGGCCCCGGCCTATTTTCTTTTAAACAGCTTTCCTGAGCTATAATTTGCACACCATACATTCACCCACTTAAAGTATACAATTCAACGGTAGCACGGATTAATATTTTCACAGATAAGCACAATTATCATGGACTCCATTGACCGCGGAGGCAATTTGAGAATCTTTTCCTCACCTCAAAAAAAAAGGCCACACCCATTCCTTTCCCTCCCCTCGGCCCTAAGCAACCACTAATCTATTTTGCCTACAGACTTGCCAATTCTGGACATTTCTCATAAATGGAATGACATGGGATGTAGTCTTCCGTGGCTGAGTTCCTTTGCTTATTAATAGGCGTAACGCTTTCGAGACTCATCCACGTTGAGGCAGTATGTAACGGCACTCCATTCCTTTTCATGGCTGAACACCCTTCCATTGTACAGATAAACCACGTTTCGTTTATCCATTCATCAGTTAGACAGTTGGATTGTTTCCACCTTTTGGCCATTACGCATAGCGTGTGCGCATTTTTGTGTGGACATATGTTTTCATTTCTCTTGGGTACATACCCAGGAGTGAAATTGCCAGGTCCTACGGCAACTCTAAGGTTTAACTTTTGATGTCAGGCTGCTTTCCAATGTGGCTGCATCGTTTTACGTGCCCGCCGGAAGAGTTTGAGGGTTCAGATCTCCCTGCACCCTCCCCTAGGTTTGTTACCTGATTTTTCGATCGTGGCCTTCCCAGTGAGTGTCAAGGGCTATCTCATGGTTTTGATGTGTGTTTCCTTAGGACTAAGGATGGCAAGCATCTTTTCATGTGCTTATGGGCCATTTGCATATCTCTTTTGGAGAAATAGCTCTTCAGATCTTTTGCCCATTTAAAAATTGGGTCATGTGTCTTTTCACTGATGAGTTGGAAGGGCTCTTTATTCTAGATACAAGTCCCTTATCAGATATACGATTTGCAAATATTTTCTATTCTTTGGGTTCTCTTTTCACTCTTTTGATAGCATCCTCAGAAATACACAGGTTTTGAGTGTTCATGAAGCGCAATTTACTTTTTTCTTTTCTAGCTTGTGCTTTTGGTGTCATACCTAAGAATCCCTTGCCAAATCTGAGGTATCCCGAGGTTTCCTTCTAAGAATTTTATAATTTTAGTTCTTATAAAGAAGTCTTTGAGCCATTTGGAGTTAAATTTTTTTTATATGGTGTAAGAACAAGTGTCCAACTTTATTCTTTGGCACGTGGCTATCCAGTTTCCCCAGTGTAATTTGTTTAAAAGATCCTTCTTCCCCCATTTGGGTGGTCTTGGCATCCTGGTTGAAAATCAGTTGCCCACGAACACATGATTTTATTTCTGGACCCTCAATGCCATTCCATGGATCACATTGTGTATCTATCTACCCGTAAGCTGGTACCACACAGTTGTGAATTCTTTTTTTTTTTTAATTTTTTCAAGTGTTTGTTTATTTTTGAGAGAGACAGAGACAGAATGCGAGTCGGTTGGGGCAGAGAGAGAGGGAGGCACAGAATCTGAAGCAGGCTCCAGGCTCCAGGCTCCCAGCTGTCAGCACAGCACAAAGCCCGACGCGGGGCTCGAACTCATGAGCTGTGAGATCATGACCTGAGCTGAAGTCGGACGCTCAACCGATTGAGCCACCCAGGTGCCACCCCGCCCCCGGTTTTTTTTAATTGAAGAATCATTGCCATATACTATCCCCCTAGTTTCAGGTGTCAATTATAGTGATTCGATATTTTTATACATTAACAAAACGATGTCCACAGTAAATCTAGTCACTGTCCGTCTCCACGCACTGTTGTGAGTTCTGTTGCTTTTTTTGTCACCACCTCATTGCCCGGAACACTGGTTCACATATCTGTTGGATGTTCAGTGCCCAGCAAGTAAATACCACCAGGAACACACCTGTAGTCCAAAAAAGTTAGGTTTATTTAGCTTGCGCAGCAAAGTACATGCCCTACAGGATCTCCAGAGAATCTCAAAAGGAAGGTCCCAAGAGAGGCCTCTTAGAGGGTTCAGGTTGGTGCGGAGCGATTCGAGAAGAGGTCGGGAAAGCAGAGGCGGTCTGGGGTTGGCTGCTGTCTAGAAGTTGGAGGGGATTCAGTAACAGGGATCTTCATTAATACCTAGGAGGGGGGAGGATTAAAGTCGGCTGGAGCCGCTGGCCCGGAGTGGCCTTGTCTGTGTGCCCTTCTGAACATGGTCTTTGTTCCTCCAGGGACTTCTTGGTCTGATTGTCAGCCGGGCTGTTTTCTGGAAGCCAACAGATGTCCCCGCAGCAGAAGAACTAGAGCTCCGACAGGCAGCCAAGGCAGACCCCACATATCCTACATCTACCTCTCAAGCTTGTTTGACTCAACACACGGACAGGGGGCAGGTGGGCAGCGTGGGACGTGCCCACTGGCCAGAGTCCAGACCACCAACTCACCGTGTGGGGTGCCCTAGTCGTGTTCCTTTCCTGGGCCTCAGTTTCCTCATCTGTATTATAGGGAGATGGGATGGACAGTGCCTGGACCTCCTTCCAGTTCCTGATCTGTGACGAAGCTGTCTTCATATGCTATTTCAGACGAGATCGGGTGCGTTCAGGGTGGTATGGCCGTAGACTTCATATGCTATTTCAGAGAGAGGGAAATCTTCGGTGAAACCGGCCCTCCACCCCCACCACGCCACACACACACACACACACACACTCTCTCTCTCTCTCTCTCTCTCTCTCTCTCTCTCTCTCTTCTCCCCACCACACAGCGGACGCATCTGGCCTCAAGTCCCTATTCAGTCTTTCAGCTCAGCGGCAACCAGACATTTGGATTTCATACCTGGCAAAGTTTTCTAAAACGTTCTTGGGATCCACATAGGGTTGCCAACATTTTCTTTTGTCAAATAGGACATTAAAAGCCGCAAGTCCTACCACCTGTTGCAAGCACTGTGTCACGAAAGGATAACAAGTAAAATAAAGGATAACACTGCCTCGACTCCCCTCACTTCTTGGACCATGGCGGAAGGTCCTCTTGGAACGGACTGTTCTCACCTAGGTTTGGGCCGGGCTGCCTCATTTCACAGCTTTGACTCATTAAAAAAAAAAAGCAGATACCACAGAAGAGTCAGCCTCAATTGTCCGTAAGGGAATGATGGGCTCTTGGAGGGGGTGCTGGCAGGCAGATGGAGGGGTGGGAAGAGCTCAGATCCTGGCTCTGGACCCCAGGTCTCTGGCAGCCGCGCCGATCAAGAAGGACCCACGGGCGCACAGACGTATCTCCACAGCCTCCCTAGTTGTGAGATTGGAAACACAGGCCTGGGAGAAAGCGTGGAGGACTTGTGAAGCTCTAAGCAAATGAAGGCTGAACTAGACCCGTCCCTCGGGCCTCAGCGCTTCCCTAACTGGCCCCTTCTTCGTCCAGGCATTTCCCCCTCCAGTGTTCACCCAGAGCCTGTGAGAAATAAGGGGTGTGTGTGTGTGTGTGTGTGTGATTCCAGTAACCTCCGGAGGGGTTTTTGTGGAAGGGAGTAAGAAGTGGAGAGTAAGTTGTCTACCCCCAGAATGATGTGGTGGGTCTGGGTTTGTTTGTTTGTTTGTTTGTTTTTTGTAACTCTTTAGGGTCACAGAATGACGCACGGCATCCGTGGGTTCCCTCTAGACAGTGAAGCGAGAATTTAAAGATGGGACCCCTCCCACACCCCAGCCCAATCTCCCGGGGCCTAGAATGCACTCGGCTACTGTGCCTTTAAAAAGGCGCTCCAGTCCACAAAGGAAACCAATCAGCAGATGGGGGAGGAGCGACTTGGGAGCCTGGCCACCAGCCTTGCCTCCGAGGAAGAGTGACAGCCTCCTGAGGGAGACTGAGCAAACTTGTTTAAAGGAACAGTGTCCCAGATGGGCCACTCTCAAGGTGTTAAGACTTCCAGAGCTCCTGAATTGACCAATGCATCCTCAGCGTGCCTGCCGCCCCCACCCCCACCCCCAAGATGATAATTTGCTGGGAAGGACGAGTGATTTATCTGTCTAATTGGGCTTTTATTTGCATTTTAAATCACGCTCTTTTGCTAAACTAATGGACCCCCTATTTATAGATGACTCCAACACAAAGTGACTACTAATTACTACAATTAATATCACGTTAAGGGCTTGCCAGCCAACTTCACAGCAACTTGTATCGCCTACTCATTTTCAATTAAGGCACATTGACAGGGAGAATACGTGGTTATTAAGAGCGAGCCCTGGGGTGTAATTACCGCTCACAAGGTCATTAAGCAACTCCCCTGCGGGGTTGGCACCTTGGAGCCTGGGGGCCAGGGGCCCAGATCTGTGCCCTACCCTGGGGCCATAAAGCCTCAGTGCCCCAGGCTGCCAGGGCAGCTGGGGGCCTGGCTCTGAGCTGCCTGGAAGTGGAGTAGATGATGCCAGAAGGGGTTGGGATGGGAGAGCCAGGCAGGGAGGCTGAGGAAGAGATCCGCCCTTTCTCGAAGACAGCCACCGGAGAGCTGAGGGAACTTCAGGCTTCCTGGAGCAGCAGGTGTCTATGGAGGCCTCCTCCGGGACAGGGAGGGGGTTGGCAGCAGGGCTGTGGGACTGAGGGGATGAGGGCCCCAGGAGGAGACCAGCTTCCAGAGCACTGTGTGGGGGCAGGGCCTACGAGCCTGGCAGGTAGAGAATGGGCTTCGGGGATAGGAGGAGGTCCCGGCTCCAAATGCAGAGGAATGGTCCCTTCTGACTGAGAGGAGGAGACCTTGAAGGTGAAGAGAAGCTGTGGCAGAGAAAGAAAAGGCCTGGAAGGGGTGGGGAGGGGGGCAGAGGCAGAAGTCAAGGGAAAGTGAGCACCTCGAGAGGGTGCTCTTGTGGCTGATGGTCCCCTCACTCTTCCTCTTCCCCTTGGCAGAGGCCAACCTGCTATGGACCAGGTACAGGCTGGTGGGGAGATTCTGGAGCCCAAACCCCCACCAGGCAACCTGTGGCCTCAGGGTCAAGGACGCTGTGGTAGGGTGAGGAGAAGCCCCTGGCAATGGCATGCCGGAGCTCCTGAGGGCCCATCTCCAGCCTTCCCCATTCTGCCTTCCCCCATTCTAGCACTTCATGTTTACAGCTCAGAAATTACCATGGTGGTGGGGCGCCTGGGTGGCGTAGTCAGTTGGGCATCCGACTTCAGCTCAGGTCATCATCTCATGGCTGGTGAGTTCGAGCCCCGCGTCGGGCTCTGTGCTGACAGCTCGGGGCCTGGAGCCTGCTTCAGATTCTGTGTCTCCCTCTCTCTGAGCCCCTCCCCCCCCTCTTTCTCTCTCAAAAATAAAGATTTTTTTAAAAATTAAAAAAAAAAAAAAAAAGAAATTACCGCAGTGGAGGATTCAGACCACAGAAGTCTGCAAAGACTGTGGAACAGGGTGTTTTTTCCCTCAGGTAACCAGCTGCTGAACAGATACCGGCAGTTACTGCCCTGGGTCAGCCCATCAGGGCGGTGTGTAGGGCCTTCTTTGATGTCCTTAGCACTTGGCCTGTGCACATGTAGTCTGCCCGGGACTGAGTTCTACAGGCACCCAGTGGAAGCCCACTTCTGAGAAGCAAGCCACACGGGTAGCACAGGGGCTCGCACATGAGGCCGGATCCCCGTGGTCCACTCTAGACCTGTTGTCTTGATTTGGGAAAAATGCATAGGTCTGGGGAGACCCTCCCTAGACACCCCGCCACCCAGGCTGGCACCCACCCTCACCTACGGCCTCATCAGGAAGGGGCACTGGGCCTTCACGGGCCAGAGCGGAGGGGAAGGAGTGCACTGGGCCCTCCAGGGGAGAACTGAGGTAGGCGTGAGTGTGTGAGAAGTTCCTGCTGCCCCTGCTCTTCTGGAAGGTTCTTCTTACCTCCCCCCTCCCCGACAAATCCTCCCCAGGTTCTGTCTGTACCACGTCCATTGCCTTGTTTCTTGGCACCCCTACCCTTTCTAAATCCCCTCCAGCGGCTTCTCTATTCCTCCTCTGCTCCCCAAGTGCTGGATGCTGCATCAGTGTTGGTGGAGAGAAGGGGGGAAAGGCAGGGAGAGGGGGCGGGAGGAATTATAGTTCTGTGGATCAGGATTAGGTTTGCCTACGCAAAAATGATGGGGGACAAACAGGACAGAAGTTTCTCTCTCACCTTGATATAGGCAATCCGGGGTTGGTCCTTGGTGGTCAGCCGTTGCTCTTCCGTCCTCACAACGTGGCCTCCAGCTCGTGGTCAGAGATGGCAGCCAATCACTTGTCCGCCTTCCAGCCCAGGGGCAGCAGGAAAGGGCGGGAAGAGGAACACGCTTGTCCCCTTTCCGGGCTTCCTGAAATCCACACATGGCCGCACGCGGCTGCCAAGGAGGGCTGTGGGATTGCGCAATCACTTCATTTCCACCCCCAAAGCAGGGTTTTATCGCAAAGGCAGGGATGGGTGTGGAGGGACGAGAGCAGTCCATCACACACTTGACTGTGGCACTCCTTGATAGGATGGTCAATGTCGGTGACGGTTGGAAGGACTCCTGGCCCTGGACAGCTGCTGCCAGCTGCCACACCCCGCAGTCCCTTTGGGGATGGCTGAAAGGGTGTCAGGGTCCAGGAATCGGACGAACCAGGGCAGACTTCGGCCTCCTTTCCTGGCCATTGAGACGTTCCCCGCTTCTAGGGCTGGGACTGGGCGTTCTCGCCTGGCCCTCTGTGGAGCCAGAGAACTTTCTTCCACAGCACAGGTGTGTGTGCAGCTGAGGGCCCAGCCAGGAGCTGGCAGCCCGCCCCCAAGGCTGTCGGGAGGGAGGGGGCAGGGAGGAGATCCTTAAATGGAGGAGAGGGGGCTGGAGGGTGACAAGAAGCAAGGGCCAGGGCATTTCAGATCCAGAGAACCAAGACGAACTGAAAGCAGAGACCACAAGAGGCAGGGGGCACTTGCAGAGAGGTGGGCAGTTTGGTGGGACCAGAAGCGTGGGCCGAGTGCGGAAGTGGGGTGGAGAGAGGTTAGGGCCATCTGTGTTTCCACGTAGTCCTACGTGATTGCTCAGTTTCCCCACCGTCCCCCCCCCCCCCCCAGCACTTGCTGTATGTCAGGCATCCTTCTTAGAATCGGAAATGCTTTATCAGTATTTTTTTCCTCCCCAGAGATCCCATGAGAGACGAGCTGCCCGTTTTATAGGCTCAGATGTGCCCCGCTCAGGGGCTAAGGAACCTTGCCATAAAACCCAAGTAGGAAGTGCCACGGAGTGCAGCCCCAGAAGGCAGGGTATCACACAGCCCTGCAGAACCTGGGACTGTCTCCCCAGGAGCTGGGTCATCTCCTCACCCCCACCCCCCAACTCAGGCTCAGTCTCTCCTAGCTGTGCTCACCCTTCCAGTAGCATCCAGTATTAACTTCACCTAGGCTTCCTGGGGCTCCCACCGACTTTTCCCCAGCTCCCACCAACCTCCCCCCACCCCCACCCCCGCCCCACCTCCCTGGCAAATGAAACCTACACCTTCTCCCACCACTCAGGGCTCAAAAGGCAGTCAGAAGGGGGAGGCAGTCGGAAGGGGGAGGTCACCAGGGCTGTGTCTCCATTCCTGGGCCAAGTGCAGACAGGATTTTTCTCTGGGCAAAGAGTATGTTCAGGGGCTTCAGTCCACTAAGCCATCTCGCTCTGAGTGGCAGGGAGGGAGCTTGGGGGGGGGGTTGGGGGGTGGGGGAATGGGGGTGGGAAGGGGCTGTCGCTGCCCACCAGTGAAGAGAAGGCATAGAGTAGGCACTAAATAACTGATAAGCATGCTTCTTGTCTTTCCCATCATAACACAAAGTGCTTTGTGAACATTTCCGGTTACTCATGAAAATCTACGAATGACTATCTTCTTTTATGACAATTTAAACAAATTTAGCATTTTCATTTTTCCCCAAATTTCCTTTTTAGGTGTAGGTAGGGATCAGGTTTAGATTCGAGGTTATAAAGCCCAAAGAGAGGATTCGGGTGGCATGATGGAGTAGAACCGGATGCCTGGATCCGGCTGCCGGATGCCAGCCTTCTGTGGCCGCACTCCTGCCCAGACCACCCTGGCTGCAACCCCGTGCTGATCCTGCCCCACCAGAAAGGCGGGCTCCTAGTCAGCCTCTAGTTGGCCCTTAGCTAGAGCCTAGTTAGTCCCCTCTTGTACCGGCCCCTCTTGACAGAAGCCACACCTCCTATTTCATATGGAAGAGAGTATCTACTGAACCCTGATCTCCCTTCCGTGAGGCCCCCCTCCTTTATCCTGCACTCTTGCCCCAGCCCCCCGCCACCACCAAGTACCAAGAGTTAAATGCCCTGAGGTCACCAGCCCTGGTGCTCCAAGTAGGGCCTTAGGTGCAGGGGCTCTGCGGAGGCCTGTGATCTCACCCAGCTCCCACCCCCCAAGGACCCCGCAGCACCAAGGGACTGCTCCCCAGGCCACCCTTGGTTTTATTCCCTGCCCCCCACACACAGCTCTGGACACCCTGCGCTGGGCCTGCTTCTCCCACCTCGTTTCTTTCTGCACCCTCCAGATTCCTCCCTGTTCCTTAGCTGTGTCACTTGTCACCCTCTTGGATTCCTTCCCAACTTGCTCTTGTCTGCCTTTTAGGTTTTAGCCAGGACAGCTCCCGCCTCCTGGAAGTTCTCCCTGCCCATTGCCCCCTCTAGACCAGGATCCACGCCTCTTCTGCGTGCTTTCCAATCCGTTGTGCTGTCCCCAGCCTCCACTTACCCCACCACTGCCCCCTCTGTGGTGGCAGAGGCCATATCCATCGTGCTTTCTGCCAAATTGCCATAAAATGCCAATCCACTCTTCAGGGGCCAGCGGGAAGGCTGCTGAAGCCAGGACTCTGCCCTCCATGTGGGCGCCTTTGGCAAAATGGAGGAGGAGACAGGGAGGCAGCTATGCCAGGGCACAGTCGACTGGGGTGCTGGTGTGCACCCCAAGGCCCTTCGTCCTCCCTGGTGATTCTCAGTGACTGCACATGGGGATAGCACGTGAGGTGGTTCTGGCTGATGAGATATAAGCATGAAGGGGACAGGCCCAGTGCGCCCCATCAGGCTTTCTGTCCCTTTCCTCTGGGCATGGTCCCTGGAGGAACATTAGCATCTTCTGAGCACGAGGGTGGAGGCGACCTGCTAAGGACGACAGAAAGACAGACAAGGTCCCGATGGCCTGGGTCCCAGCCCCAGTTTGCCAACCTCCACAGTTCCTCTCCCAGTGGGTGCCTGGGCCACTGGCCAAGACCCTTGGGGAGACTCCTCCTGCCCTCCTCAGATGTCCTGGCTGCCCACCGGGAACCTGGAAGCACCTCCTTTCCCTGCCGCTGTGCCATCATCCCTGGTCAGGAGACTGTTCAGGCACCCTCCTGGGCCACAAAGCCCCGTCAGGATGTTCCCAGGCTCTTACAACCTTTATGACACTGCGTTCTAATCATCCATCTGAGCTGAGGACCTTAGTCCTCCTTTCCCCGGGAGGAGGGAGTACTCAACCGCCTGATCTCCAACCCTGTGGTCTGTCTAGCTCCCCTACCCACCTTGGCCTGTTCCCTGCTCCTGGAGGGTCGATTAGGAGACCCTAAGGAGGCACTCCCTTGATCCAGCCTCCAGGGATCATCTGGACCTCAAGGCTGGGGGCGTGTCTGGGATCCAAGCACAGATGTGTGTGTTTAGCTCCTCTGTTGTAGACTTTGGGCCCACGATGCTACACAGGATGTTCAGTCCAAGGCCATAGGTGGAATCAGTCAGTATCAGTGCTTGGCTCTCTGGGTCTCAACGCTAATGACCCAGTAAATACCTTGGAAAGGACCAGGGGATGCTGGCAGCCAGGGAGCCCTCTTTTTTTAATTTTTTTTTTCAACGTTTATTTATTTTTGGGACAGAGAGAGACAGAGCATGAACGGGGGAGGGTCAGAGAGAGAGGGAGACACAGAATCTGAAACAGGCTCCAGGCTCCGAGCTGTCAGCACAGAGCCCGACGCAGGGCTCGAACTCACAGACCCTGAGCTGAAGTCGGCCACTTAACGCACTGAGCCACCCAGGCGCCCTGGGAGCCCTCTTGAGTGAAGGCAGAAATACTACATCTCCTCACAACAATGGTGGCTGATGGGGAAGGGCTGCCACATTTAACCAACACGACACAATTGGACAGAGAAAATGAAATTTATTTGGGTTATAGCTTAAAAAAGCTGTGCCCGCCTTTTGGGATGAGCACTGGGCGTTGTATGGAAACCAAATTGACAATAAACTTCATATATTGAAAAAAAAAATTTAAATTAAATTAAATTAAATTAAAAAAAAAAAAAAAAGCTGTGCCCGAATGCTCAATCTGGTTTAAAGTCCAGTCCCATTCACTGATGGAGAGTCTCTGCGAGGCCCCACATGTACCTGCTCCGGTCTTCAGGGTGGGACTCCTTGCCCCATGGGTGCAGGGTTGTGGCTCCTTCTGTGGCCCGAGCAGTGCCCCTGCTGACACTCTGAGCCAGCTCCGGCCTCCACGGGGTCCAGCGCGGTGTCCACGCCGGAGTGACCCTTACACCTGGGCACCTCCAATCGAAAAGCCGGCCTCTTCTGGGTCTTTCCTAAAGCACATGGGGACCAGGGCAGCCCAAGAAAACTAAAGAGTCTAACCCTGCAGTCTGCCCATGAAAGGTGGCCCAGGTGTAGGTCTGTGCCCAGGTGGCCATGGGGACACTTGCCCTTTGTTTTCGATGTACTCAGCTAGTAATGCTCTCCCCAGAGGCTCTGGGGCTGAACCCTGGAGAGGGGTTTCTCTTTCTCTCTTCTCCTTCCCAGGATCCCTCCTTTTCTGCCTGGACCTAGTCCAGCTGGCTCAGCCTGGTCCTCAACATACTACTGAGGATGACAGAGAGAGTTAGACACTCTTCTTTCAGAACTAAAACCTAGTTTGCTAACCCCTGGGATTGTAGCTGATGTAGGCGATAGAACCAGGCACTGGTGATTTTTTTCCACTGCCTCTTTGTCCTTTCTAGAACAAATTGGAATGCTCCCATATGCCAACTTTAGCTATAATGCTGGGTCACTCCTCTATGTGGCCTTTATTCCTGGGTTTGCTCCCTTGCTCCCAGACGGGTTTTTTTTTTTTTCTTTTTTGGTGTGGAAATTGGCCAGTCCGCCATAGGAGTTGATGTCATCCTAGTCCATTAAGAGCCCAAAGCCCCATCCCATCCCCAAACCACCCCAATCCCTGTTTTGCATATATTCTCTTCCTGAAAAGTTGAGGCTAGCAGAAGGCAAGCACCTCGTGGCGGAAGAGTCTCTGGCCATTCAGACCCAAGTTCAAGGCCAGGCCACCATCCAGAGGGACCCGGCCCCAGGGACAGTCCTGACACAAGGCCCTGACCCCAGGTCCTCTATACTTCCAAGCTCTTCAATCAGGGACAATGCTTTGGGACTAAAGCTCTTCCTGGCTCCGACCCAGATTCTTAGGAGGCAATTCTCACACTCTCTCTGCTTCCCCTTCCTGCATGTAGGGCCCACATCATTCCTGCACCTTCCCCACTGTTAGGATCCCACAGGCTTCTGCTTTGGTGGCTATTTGGGACTAACCCTTAACCCTCCGTCCATCCCCTTAGCTTTACCTACTCCAACTTCCTAAGTCTATGAACTTAAGTTATGAACCAGACTATCAGGCAGGATCAGTCCCAAAGGGGACTGCCTCCTTTGAGGTCCTTCAGTGTGGGTGTTCCTGCCCAGAAAGCCCCCTAGTCCTGTACCATCCAGTGAGCATTTCATAAGACCCCTTACTTGGTCTTCTCTGACTGACAGGGGTCCTGTGGGCTGCCAGGGAGGCCCAGGGACTGATACAAGGATCTGTCATGGCCCCCATTGATCTCAGGCTGTCTCAGCTCCCACCATCGGGGACAGTGGCCCCACTTGCAATGGGATCTTCCTGTGCTGCCCCAACTGGCCGATTCTGCCCACCCCCCCCCCATCCTTCCCCTTCACTTCCTAAGTCTGTGAATGCACATACAATACCCAGAACAAACTGGATCACAGCTCTCCTTCAGGAGACTCAAGAAAATCCAAAGAGGTATGAAGGTGAAAGCCATGAAGAACCAACCAGAGGATGAGACCTTCCCCAGCCACGGACACTTCCGCTTGGTCAGAGACAAGTGCTTCGTGTCATGTCTGAGATTTCCTGAACATCTTTACGTTATGTTGCCCCACTGTTCTTGGCAGACAAGCATTAAAAATGGACAGGACTCTATGCCTGACCAGGAGGTGACTGGCCTGGCAGCTGGAGCGCCTCTCCCAGGCCACCGCTGAGGGCAGGGAGAAGAGCCTGCGAAAGTTGAACAGGTGGCAGCTATGAAGGGGACGAGGACCCGGCACTGAGACCCTGAGGCTCAAGCAAGAGAGGGTCCCACAGGGATGGACCCAAGACCAGGAAGCAGGATGGGGCTTACACGGCAAGAGCCCTGCTATTGTCATGGGAGGCTGAGATAAGGGAGATTGGCGTGACACAGCCGGGGGCAGATGTGATAGATGGTGGGTCCATGCAGAGGAAATGCCCAATGGGGCACCTTGCTCTCTGGGGACGGCAGCATGGGAGGCTGCAGAGGCTCATCAGATCAATGCCCAAGGGACAAGTGTGGAGAGTCCAAAGCCATGCCTTTCTCTACATCTCCTGGGCCCAGACGCCAAGCCCTAGAGGCTCCCCAAGGCTCAACGTTTAATGCTCTTTGGAGATGTGATGGGATGCTTCCAGACCTCCCATCAGGGGTGAGGGGCCTGGCCAAGGCTGGTCAGGCCAAGAGGACATGGGTGGGGTGATGGGCAATCTGCTCTCTGATCCTTGCTGCTTGAATAGTTTTGTCCAGCCTCAAAGATCCCCAACCCAGACTGGTATCAGCTTGGGGTTCCTCTTTCCAAGCTCAGATATTTTCTCTCTTAAAAAAAAAAAAAAAAAAAAAAAAGATTTGAACTCCCTTGCAAATGTAGAAAGAGGGAAGGAGCCCCTTAGAAGAAAAAGGCATCACTAACCTATTCTAGAATCCACCTTCAGTGAAGTTCTTAAGTTCTTCTCTGAGCTTCCCTGTCCCGCTGTCTGACATTTTCTGAACTTGGGAGGTAGTGGGACCCTGCGGGCCAGGGGGGGATCTCTAGGTACCTTCCATTCCTTTTCATTGTGTTGGCCATGCTGGGGTCTCAGAGGCAGCGGTGGTGGTGCTGTTAGCTAGAAAAGGAGAACAGGGCCAGAACCACCTACGCTAAAGCTGGAAAGAGGTCCAGATTAGAGTCTCCATCCACAACTTGGGTATTTGAGTGGGGGTGGGGAGGGAGGGGACAAGGGTCTGGGTGGGGGGGAGTGCCACCTGTTCCCGCACGTAGTCCAAGGCCCTGCCTATCTGCCACTGGACTGAGCACTGTCACCCAAGGACTGTGACACCCCACAGTCTCTGTATGCACAGCACCATACCTCCACTCCATCAGACAGCCTGGGGACCACACTTCTCCCTCTTTGACCCTCAGACACCCCTGTGGACTGCCTGGCCCTCCAGAGCCGACCCCATGCCTAGGCAGGGAGAATAGAACTGTACATTTTTGGTCCTCCCTTTCCCTGCCTCCAAGGGGTTCAGGCTCAAATGAAACCAGGCTTAAATCCCATTCCACGAATCTCTCAGCGTGCCATCTGTCAGGGAGCAAACATTAGCCAGCCCCGGGCCCCAAGATGCATTCTCTATCAGTGCCTGGCGGGACATTGATGCAACTCTTGTCCCAGAGACCTGGTGCTTGTCCATCTGTTGTCACCCACCCATTCATCCATTCAACAAATACTCATTGAGGGCCTAACTGTGTCAGGCCCCATTCTAGAAGCTGAAGGTACAGCTGCAGTCAAGAATGACCAGCACCCCCCGCCGCCCGCCCACCCCGCATGGAGCTTACGCTCTAGGGAGGAAAGACAGGCAACCAATAAGAAAACCAAGATGGACAAGGTCTATCCAGATAATGTCAAGAAAATAGGACCAACAGGAGAGTCTTGGGGGTGGAGGGAGGCCTCTGGAGCTGAAGGACATTAGAGAAGGCTTTTCTGGGAGGACAGTTAGCTGAGCTGGACTGGGAAGGAGGAGCCAACAACACACAGAAGAAACGTGTGTCAGGAGAAGCCAGACAGTGTCTCTTCTGGGAACCGATTAGGGCTCGGAGGAAGGCAAGATCTCTGCTCCCTAAGGAAAAGCCGCTGGCCATCCAGGGCTCTCTGGAGGCCCCTCTGCCTGACAGTCTGCCAGGCTTGTCTCTGGTGGGAACTCTACTCCCATCACCCCACCAGGAGCCTGCCCTGCTGCTTCATCCCCAGCCAGTTACTACTGAAGAGGAAAGACAAGCACAGCCCAGACTAAGATCATATCAGAGGTCCTCTCCCCCAGTCCCCACTCTGTTCTGTCCCTCCCTAGGGCGCAAGAACATCCAGGGGCCCCTGGGTGGCTCAGTCGGTTAAGCGTCCAACTTCAGCTCAGGTCATGATCTCACGTGAGTTCAAGCCCCGCATCGGGCTCTGTGCTGACAGCTCGGAGCCTGGAGCCTGCTTCAGGTTCTGTGTCTCCTCTTCTCTCTGCCCCTCTGCCTCTCGTGCTCTCTCTCTCAAAAGTAAATAAATATTAAAAAAAAAAAAAGAACATCTGAAGGATGATTTATTGCCTCCACTGTTCAGTTCAGTTTGGCCTGTATTCCTGGGCCACCTGGGCTGTCCCCTGCTTCCAGCCGTCCTGGAGCCTGGTTGTGGACACCAGCCCCGCCCTGGGAGGGACCTCCTTCCTTCCCCTCCCTGTTCCCCAAACCCTATCCATCCCCTATAGCCCTCCCTCTGAACTGATCTGGCCGGGACAGGACTGATTATGGGGCCCTCTGGTCCCATATGCAAAGCAGCAGTTCCAAAGCCCAGCCTGCCCACTTAGACGATGGTCTGGC